TTTTTTCTTTTTTTCTTTCATCTCTCTCTTTCCTTCCTGTTCTCTCTCTGTCCCTTTTTTCTTTTTTTCTTTCATCTCTCTCTCACTCTTTTTCTTTCTTTTTTCTTTTTTTATTTCTTTCTTTCTTCCTTTCTTTCTCTTTCTCTCTCTTTCTGTCAGTCTGTCTGTATGTCTGTGTGTGTGTGTTTGTGTGTGTGTGTGTGTGTGTGTGTGTCAGTGGTGGGTTTAAAAATTTTTGGAACCTCTTCTGTAGGTGTGGCCTGCTTTCCGGGTCCACTGTTGGAACCTCTTCTAACCAGTTCGGTAGATCTGACGAACCGGTTCTACCAAATAGGTGCGAACTGGTAGGAACCCACCTCTGACAACCTAGAACTATGCCAATTAACGTCTTACCTAAACGTAGTAAACAAAATTGCTACAATGTCCTACCTGTCAATGACTACTTCAGCTTAAACCGCAATAACACAGGGGCAAACAGATACAAAGTCAAGGTAAACCCAAATCACTCCAAACTTGATTGCAGAAAATATGACTTCAGCAACAGAGTGGTCAATGCCTGGAATGCACTACCTTATCTCTTATTACCTGATCTATCTACTATCTGTTGTTACATCCTCAAACCCCCAAAACTTTAACCTTAGACTTTCTGCCATGGACCTCACCCCATTCCTAAGATGTCCGTAAAGGGAGCATGCACCAGCCTGCCTACCGTCCCTGTCCTATTCTCCCCATTTCTGTACCCATTTCCTGTGTTCATGTCCATGTTTATAATTATACCTGTTATCTCGTACATGTTTGACAAACTAAATAAATAAATAAAATATATCTAATTATTATTTACATCTATGGCAGTCAATACTGCTCAAAATTGGAGGGAGGGGGACAAATGTTCAAATGTAGCAAACGGCAAACCAAGTAGATACCTTCGCATCCATGAGGTGTAACTTCAGCAAAGGGATTATCACAGCGATTGCACTGTCGTCCAATCACTCCTGATTTGCAGGGACATTGTCCAGTTTCCATGTCACAAGTACGAGTATGGGAACCAGAAGGGAAGCAATCGCATGGATAGCAGGAGTCATTTTTCTGTGGTCGGTAATAGTTTATCTGGAAAGATGAAAACCCATCAGTCAGTCAAGGCTACCAGTAATGCAATGTTTTGAACCTAGGATTATAAAAAAAAACCTCAGGAAATCCTGACTTTTTCCCCCCAAGGAAAATGATGTTTAAAATATATTTTTCCCTGTACAGAATAGGAATTATTATAGTCTGAATACGAATTATCCATTTTTATTTCCATGTTACGTTTTGAAAGTTGAAAAAACCCAGCTGTTGTGTAACACAACAACTGGACTTTTTCAAGTTTCAAAATGTAACATGGAAATAAAAATTGATAATTCGTATTCAGACAACTCCCAAATCTACCCTTTTTCCCCCTTGAAACGTAATTTTAAAACCAAGGATATAAAAATGGAATCTAGAGGTTTTGAAGATGCATGGAGATTTAAGTCAAATCTCATCAATATTATTCATTTCTGAATTGCCTAAACAGCCTGAAGTGTGATGGAAAGAATGATCAGTTCCTTACCTTACATCGACATGCTCCATTTGTCTTATTGCAGTCAGGATCAAATCCTTTACTGATCTCACAATTACACGGCCCACAAATAGGATTTCCCCACCAGCCTCTGGGACAAGGTAAATCAATTCTACAGAGGAATTGGAAGGTAGAAAGATGTAAGAATCGCTACTCTCTTTTAAAATTATGTGAAGACAATAAAGGAAAGGATATTCTCTTTCACTGAAAATAGCAATGCGTGTCTTGCCCTCTTGTGCTGACATTTCATAAATTCATATACTGTATGTGTGTGTAAATTTATACAATATTATACATGAAATAAAGCTACAGTGGCGCAGTGGTTAGAGTGCAGTATTGCAGGCTATTTCTGCTGGCTGCCAGCTGCCTGCAATTTGGCAGTTCAAATCTCACCAGGCTCAAGGTTGACTCAGCCTTCCATCCTTCCGAGGTGGGTAAAATGAGGNCAATATCAATATAAATCATAAGGATGCAAGAAACAAAGTTATAGTCCTGCAGTCATAAGTGGGAGGAGATGGGTGATAGGAACAATGAGAGGACTAATGGTAATAGTAATGCAGCTATAGTGAATGGTGTGACAGTGGTTAGGGAATTATTTGTTTAGCAGAGTGATGGAGTTCAGGGAAAAACTGTTCTTGTCTCTAGTTGTCTTGGTGTGCAGTGCCCTATAGCAGTGATGGCGAACTATGGGAGGTATGCAGTTTTTTTTTAAAGGGCATGAATAGCCTTTAGGAGGCTTGTAGAGTGCTCCTGGAGGGTGGTGCCAAAAACAACCAAAAAATGGCCCATTTTTCACGAAAACGCGCCTGGTTTTTGTAAAAAAAAAGGGGGGGGGCACGCATAGCCTTTAGGAAGCTTATAGAGTGCTCCTGGGGGTGGGGCAAAATTGAGCAAAAAAAATGCCCGATTTTTCGCTCAGTTCTGCCCTCCCCAGATCCCAGGAGCTCTCTGAAAGCCTCCTAAAGGCTATGCACAGCCATTTTGGTGAAGGGGGCAGGGTTTCGGGAGGCACAAAAATGCTATATTCAGTGTATAAGACGCACCCAGATTTTCAGCCTCTTTTTTGAGGGAAAAAAGGTGCGTCTTATACTCCAAAAAATATGGTATATAATACAAAGTGTAGTCATATATGGATGTAAAAATGCTTCAGGTTCATTAATATAAATATAAAACTTCAAATATAAAACTAGGAAAACTGTGTTTGTCCTTTGCATATTTTTAAAACCAAGCAGAGAAGTGTTGAAGGGAGCAAGTAGGAGGGAGGTTTCAAAGGAATCCAATATCAGAACTACTGAAGCTTTTAAATACGAAAGTATAGGAGAGCATGTATAGATCAGAAAAGGGATTACAAACTCACTGCTCAGAGTCCAACCTTTTCACTCTCAAGTGATTTATTAGCTCTCAATCAATATCAATGTAGCTTGGTTTGGATTTTCTCCATATAATTATTATTTGTTCCCATGGCACAGCAAGAAAAATGGATCAGAGCAGGGCACAAGCTGTTGGTGTCTAGACAACAGAATGATTCCCTATTTTTGTGCCAGGAAGAACATTTGTGCCTACCAATCTTATTTTCCAGAGGCCTGAGAATACCAATTCCATGAAACATTTTAATCCTCAATTTCAAATTCTTCATCAGTAGATGAGGAAAAAATAGAAATCGGTAGTCCTCGACTTTCAACAGTTCATTTAGTGACTGTTCAAAGTTACAATGGCACTGAAAAAAGTGATTTATAACCATTTTTCACAGTTACAACCTTTCCAGCAATCCCCATGATCAAAATTCAGATGCTTGGCAACTGATTCATATTTATGACCGTTGCTATGTCCCGGGGTCACGTGATCCCTTTTTGCGACCTTCTGACTAACAAAGCCAGCGGGGAGACCAGATTCCCTTAACAACTGGGTTACTAACTTATCAATTGCAGTGGTTCACTTAACAATTGAGGCAAGAAAGGTCGTAAAATGGGACAAAATGCACTTTACAAATGTCTCACTTAACAATAGAAATGTTGGGTTCAATTGTGGTTGTAAATTTATATGTTAGGGACTATATCTTTCACGAGAAGAGTACTCCACTCTTCTGCTCGCAATAGAATACCTTATGCCACCAGGCTTAATGCCTTATGCCACCACCAAGCCCAAGCTTTTGGGCTTGGACAACCTACAGTGGTGGGTTTCAAAAAATTTTGGAACCTACTCTGTGGGTGTGGCCTCCTTTGTGGGAGTGGCTTGCCGGCCATGTGACCTGGTGGGCGTGGCTTGCCGGCCATGTGTTTTCTTTCTCTCTCTCTCTTTCCTTCCTTTTCTCTCTCTGTCCCATTTTTCTTTTTTTCTTTCATCTCTCTCTTTCCTTCCTTTTCTCTCTCTGTCCCTTTTTTCTTTTTTTCTTTCATNTCCCCTAATCATCCTGGTTGCTCTTCTCTGCATTTTTTCTAGAGTCTCAACATCTTTTTTATAGTGTGGTGACCAAAACTAGATGCAGTATTCTAGGTGTGGTCTTACTAAGGCTTTCTAGAGTGATATTAGTACCTCCCTTGAGCTTGATTGTTATCCCTCTGTTAATGCAATTTAGGATTGCATTGGCTTTTTTGGCTGCCGCTGCACACTGTTGCCTCATATTTAATCGGTTGTTCACGAAGACTCCAAGGTCCATCACACATTTACTGCTATTAAGAAGTCTGGTTTCACCCAGTCTATATCTGTATTTTTGTTTTTTCTTGCCGAAGTGTAAGACTTCACTTTTCTCTACATCAGATTTCATTTTGTTAGATAGGGCCCAGTGTTCAAGTCTGTCAAGATCCATCTGAATCTTGAGCCTAACATCTAGGGCAGTGTTGGCGAAGCTTTTTGGCATTGAGTGCCGAAATGGGACTGCGCGCATGCATGTGAGGGAGTGCCAGAAACCAGGAAGAGCAGTTCCCCGGCGCACACATGCATGCCAGGGAGGTGCTCTTCCTGTTTCCTGTGCTCCTATGTGTGCGAAGACTAGCTGGCTGGTGCACATGTGCCAGAACCTGGAAGAGCAATGGGCAAGCAGTTGTTGTGCCCAGAGAGATGGCTCTGTGTGCCACTTCCAGCACACGTGCCATAGGTTCACCATCACAGATGTTGGCAATTCCTGCCAGTTTAGTATCCTCATTCTCTTGCATGAGATTATAAGCATGAATTTCTGTTTGGCTGCCAAATTATAGGAAAACGTTCTTAAACATGCAGTTCTATGAAGTCCAGGACCCTGGATATTATCATCCACTTGCTACAAGTCATAATTACCTGGGTCACAGATACATGAATAGCTGTCCCAGTCATCACTACAATAGCTGTGAAGTGGACAAGGGTTGGAATCACAAGGATTGTCTATTTCACAGCCTTCCTTGACATTAATCTTGACTGCCTGTTTCATGTTCAATGTAGCAACATTTGTAGATGTTTCTCCCATCCTCACTCCCTGAAAAGAAGAAAAAGAGACCAAAGGAATAACCAACTAATATAATAAATACAAATATAATAAATACAAATACAAATACATCCCAATATAAAGCATAGGGCTGTGCTGCTATAGGAGAAAGAGAAACAATTTTACTCACTCCTTTCTTTTAATCACAAAAAGACGTTAGCAAACTTTCACTTCTATTTTTGCTTAAGCGCATCTTGGTTAAGCCCAACACATTTATTTATCTATTTATAAGGCCGCCCAACTTAAAAAGTATAACTCTGCATAGTGTACCACAAGTATAAACAAACAATAAACCAACTCCCATAACACTAAAACATACACAAAGTAAAAATGCAAAGTAAAGACTTTTAAAATAGCAAACAGGAACCATAATAAAACAACCAATAGGGGCTCCCATTCATGTAGTCTCAAATGCCTGTGAGAAAAGCTATGTCTTCAAAGTTGGGGCTTGTAGTATTTGGGATGGGGAGGGAAATTGTCTCAGAACACAGGGAGAGCTACTGAAAAAGCAAACTTCCTAAGTCCCATAAAGCAAGGGTCACAACCTCCATGCCCCCCTCCCCAAGGGAGAAAGGTTGGGGAACTGTGCCATAAATCAGGGGTCTCCAACCTTGGCAACTTTAAGCCTGGAGAACCTCAACTCCCAGAATCCCCCAGCCAGAATTCCCCAGAATTCTGGGAGTTGAAGTCCGCCAGGCTTAAAGTTGCCAAGGTTGGAGATCCCTGCAATAAAGTGAAAAGATTTTAAAACGGGAACCAGAGCATGCACTCCATATAGAAGTGTGTGGAGCAGGCAGATATTTTGGGGAGAAGGTAATCCCTCAAGAAACATGTTTTTTATATCATGAAAGTCTTTAAAGAAAACCATCAGCACCTTGAATTACACCCATGTGTCAGTGGTGGATTTCAAATTTTTTTAGAACCTCTTTTGTAGGTGTGGCCTGCTTTGTGGGAGTGGCTTGACAGTCATGTGACTGGGTGGGTGTGGCCAACTTGTAAAATGTGGTGAAACTCACTTAACAACGCTCTTGCTTAGCAACCAAAATGTTGGCTCAGAAATTCTGGCAAATTCTAGCTAAGATTCTGTGCAGTTTGGCGAACCCTCAAATCCCACTCCTTACTGGCACTGCCCCCCATCCCCCCCCTCCCAAGAGTCCCCAC